TTCTCATTATTAGTTTCGTTGCAACTTGTTTTTCTTCGTGTGTTTGCGTGAGGCACTTTGCTGTCACCTCCAGCGGCGTCTGGGGTGGCGTACGCAGGCTCGATCTGCTCTCCCCTGTTGGGTTTTTCACTCTTCAGTTCTCCTCTTTGGATCGCACACGTCTTTTGCCAGGCGATCTTCCTGTGCATGCTGCGGGACAGTTCCTTCTTTGGTCCCAAGCAGCGCCCGCGTGTTAGGGCAGTCATCGCCGCCTTCACGATGAGGAAGTATCCTCCTCCCTTCCTCGCTCCTCCTTCTCCTCCTCCTCCTTCTCCTCCTCCTCCTCCTGCTCCCTCCTCCTCCTCTTCCTTCCTCTCCTCCTCCTGCTCCCTCCTCCTCCTCTTCCTCCCTCCTCCTTCCTCGTGGTCGAGCCCACGGGCCGCGCAGGGACCTCGAGAAGCGGAGCGGCACTGGGCTCCTCCGCGGCCGCTGCCCCTCCGGCGCGCCTACAGGGCGGATGGGGGGGGGCACTTGCACAGCGCTCCGCCGTGCCCGAGGTTCTCCGCCCCGGGCGCTTCCCCACCCAGCGGCGAGCGAGGATGGGGGAAGCGAGAAGGAGAAGGCCTTCGCAGAAGGCGCTCGGACTCCCCAGAAGCCCTCGCGCCCTCGAGGAAGTTTCTGTCTGTCTTCGGGGAAGGCTTCGGAAGCTTCTCAGAAGGCCTGGGGACTTCCGAGCCTTATGAGAAGGCCCGCCCCTTCTTACTTCCCCCCCGCGCTCGCCGCCAACCCGCACCCCCTTGGGCGGGCCTGGGCCAGAGGTGCCAGCTGCGTGGGCACAACGTTCTCCACCTCCTCCTCCTCCATCTCCGCCACCTCCCCCTTCATCCACCTCCCCCTTCATCCACCTCCTCCTCCTCCTTCTCCTTCTCCTCATCCTCCTCTTGCTCCTCATCCTCCTCCTCCTCGTCCTTCCCCTCCCTCCTCCTCCTCCTCCTCCTCCTCCTCCTCCTCCTCCTCCTCCTCCTCATTCTCTTCCACTCATGATTAATACTCGTGCTGCCTCAACGTATCCTGTTCTCCCCTGGGCCCATCCGGCTCCCGACTGCCAGCGCACATAACTTTTTGACGCATGCGGAGTGGCGCTTTGTACACATCGAGTTTCGTTGGGATTCCTCAGGCACTGCTCGAGTAGACGTAAGAGTGACCTTTCGCCGGAGTGACCCTATGGTGCGGGCACAAATGGGCCCTCAGGTGGCTGAAAACGCAGCAGTAGCAGCGGCTTGGGCGCCCAGGTTTGATCTCCCCGCGGCCCCCAAAAAGCCGTCACTCTTGCGTGTAGCCGAATTGCGCTGCGAGGGAGCCGAATCAAAGGTGCACGCCTGCATGATCTAGAGAGCGTGCAAAACCAGACTAGTTGTTCGCCGTCGTGATTCTGCGACGACGCTTTTTCGTCGCGATCCCCTTTGGTGTTTCGCGAAGATTCGTGAAGCTTCGGGGGGGGTTAGGTTTGCGGCAAGCCTCTCGCGGGGGCGGCCCCGTTAGCTCCGAGGCCCGGTGAGAGGCCCGCATCCGCGAAGAACATCGCGTGCGGGTGCCGGCCAGGTGCCTCCTGGCCCCGAAGGGTTGTCTACGTCGAAGAAGATGCTGGGATTCTAGGTCGGCGTCGCGCAGGGGTCGAGAAAGACAAGGAGGAGGCGGAGGAGGTGGAAGAGGAGATACAAAAAGTAAAGGGGCTTAGGGGGCAGGTGTGGGTACGGAGAAGAAGCAGGAGGAGGAGCAGAAGGAGGAGTAGGCGGAGGAGGAGGAGGAGAAGGATGCGGGCAACTCATCGACCCCAATCCCCGAGAGCTCCGCCCGAACAATGAGGCCGCTCAGAGAAGGGGGGAGAACTCGGGGGATACGAAACGGGGATGGGAAAAGGAGGAGGAGGAGGAGGAGGAGGAGGAGGAGGAGGAGAAGGACCAGTGTAAACCTAGGAGTCATCGACAAGCTCACTCTTCATAGGCCCCAGAAGGGCTCATTTCCACTGAGGGAGCTGCCTCGTTGGAAGACAACCGTCTGAAGACCCTTAAGCATGCCAACAAATTGGTCTCGGGACTCTAACGCCACGGATCAACCTGACTGTTGCGTCTTCACGATCTTGGATCGTGCCAGAATGCACCGCGAATCAATGTAACTGTTGCTCGATCATAACCCTGGCTCATTCCAGAACTCATTTTAAAGTAAATGAGACTGTGCGTGGCGATAAGGCGAGAGCCACATTTAGAAACGGAACCGCCCTCAATCCGTGAAATCCTTGCAACTTTGAAATCGAATGTGCGCGGCGCTCAGGCGAGAACCATTTTTCAAAACGGGCCGCCCTCAATCCGTGAATCGCTTGCAACTGTTTACGCTTCAGGGTCGCAGCTGGTGAGGAAGTCTTACGCGAGACGCCCAGCCCGCCCTACAAGCTGGCCTCGGGGGCCACCGGGAGAAGTTATGTATAAGGAAAGGAATGGTGGGAGGAGGATGAGGAGAAGGATGGAGGAGGAGGAAGAGGAGAAGGGGAGGGGGAAAGGGAGGAGGAGGAGGAGGAGGAGGAGGAGGAGGAGGACGCCGAGTGAGGGAAGGGAGGAGTCAGAGGGGGGAGAAGGAGGAGGGGAATACACTGCGACCGAGGCTAGACGCCCCCCCGCCGCACACCTCCGAGTTGGGCCCCAGACTTCGGGCCCCCTCGCAGAGGCGGCGACGACGACGAGAAGCGCGCTCGTGCCAGGAGCCTCCGCGCCTGGCCGCCCCAGGGCAAGGTCGGGCGTGTCCCTCTACCAGGGGGAATACCCCAAAATAGTCAAGAACTAGCCTGGGGACGATTTGTTCAGCATATTTGCTCATCATGTGGGGGTAGTTATGACTAATTTTGTTAATTTTTCGCCCCAGGTCCCCCTGTAGGAATACAGGCCCGACGCAACCCCAGGGAGGGCCCCGGCGAGAGCGGCAGCGGCCACGGCCCGAGACTCGAGCCCACGGCACGTGCAGGGCCCTCCGCCGCCCCGGGCGGAGGGGGTGCCCGCGGGGGCGCCCTCGGGCCCGCCAGCACCCGCCCTGTGGCAGGCCGTCGGAGCAACGCTGATCGGCGGCAGCCCGACCCCAAGAGGAACGGACAGGGGGCCGACCACGACGACGACGACGGCGGGGGCGACGACGACGACGACGGCGACGACGACGGCGGGGGCGACGACGGCGGGGGCGACGACGACAACGACGACGAGCGAAAGCGAGAGCGAGAGCGAGAGCGAGAGCGAGAGCGAGAGCGGGGCCACGACGGGCAGGATCGAAGAAGAAAAAACGGCATAAGCATATTTGGCGCCCCGCGCGGATTTCTTGGATCCGCGCTGGCCCCGCGCCGGGAAGGTGATCCCAGCGCAGATGCAAGAGATCCGCGCGGAGCGCCAAAAGTTTGTGTTGCTGCCGGTTTTTTCTTCTTCCATGCGAGCCCGTCTGATGGGGGCCCCACAAGAGGGATGGGAAGTGGGAGGGGGATCGTTCTCCGGGCCCAGGGCCGCAGGCAACGTCCACTCCGTGAGGCGCGCCGCAGCTCCCAGGGAGGACGCGGGGCCAGGAGTGGAGGCGGGGGAGGACGCGGGGCCAGGAGCGCGATCAGAGTCCACCCTGCAGCTCCGCAGGGTGGGGGAAGGGGCGGGCGTCGCCAAGAGGACCCCAGACGCGGTGCTGGAACATCATGCCTCCGCAGGCCAGGGCTCCTAGATGGGATCGGAGTAGATGGGGTCAGAGGATCGCGCTGCATCGCCGATGCATCGGCGATGCATTGGCGATGCGGCTCGATGTGGGGCCCAATTTTCTCCACGCAGCCGTCGACGATGCATCGCCGACGTCGCCAGTGCATGGCCGATGCATCGCCGATGTGTCGGCCATGCGGCGAGATCCTCCGACCCCATCTACTCCGACCCCATCTTGGAGGCCTCTACGCAGGCCAAGGCCCGCCCCCGACAGACCTCCCGAGCGCCTCGCCAGTGGCGAGGCCCCTCGGGGCTGTGCCATGTCCCCTGGCGGCGAGTCGGATCGGGCCCAGCACCCCCGCCTGCCCAGCCACCTTGGGTGCCAGGCCTGCGGCGGCCTCCCCTTCACGGAGGTGGAGGTGGAGGAGGAGGAGGAGGAGGAGGAGGAGGAGGAGGAGGAGGAGGAGGAGGAGGAGGAGGAGGCGGAGGAGGAGGAGGAGGCGGAGGAGGAGGAGGAGGAGGAGGAGGAGGAGAGGAGGAGAGAGGAGGAGGAGGAGGAGGAGGAGGAGGAGGAGGAGGAGGAGGAGGAGGAGGAGGAGAAGAAGGAGAGGATGAGTGGGAGGAGGGGTAATGGAGGCAGGGGGAGGAAGGGGCCTGCGCCGCGGACCCCAGTCCCGCGGGGGGGCTGCCGCTCGGGCGGCGGGCCCGTCCACGGGCGCGGCGGCGGCGCGCGACCAGCTCCGACATGGCTGGCCGGCCGAGCTCGCTCCGACCACTCGTCGAGGGAGGCATCTCCTGGAGGCCGCGAGGCCCTGCGGGGAAGCGTCCGAGGGGGCCTCTTGGGGGGCATTTGTGGCCGTCCTGGGGCCATCTGGGCCGTCTGGTTGCGTCGGGGGCCGTCGTGTTCCCCGATGCCCTCGTTCGCCCCCTCACGGCCGCCCCCTGCCGACCTCGCCAACGCTGGAGCAGAGGAGGGAGCCAGGGGCCAACGCAGCATCAGCAAGGGCAGGGGGCGCCCCGAGGGAAGACCCTGAAGGGGGGAGGGGCGGCGGTGGCAGGCGGCCTCGAGAGTTGTAGAAGGCTCCATGGGGGCCCTGAGGTCTTCGAGGTACATTTTGGAAAAGGATGAGGTGGAGGAGGAGCCTGGGAAACGGGATGGTCAGCATGAGCAGAAGGTAGGAGGAGGAGGGGGAGGAGGAAGAGGAGCAGGAGGACGAGGAGGAGGAGGAGGAGGAGGAGGAGGAGGAGGAGGAGGAGGAGGAAAGGGGGCATCATCAGCAGAAGCAGGAAAAGGGAGGGGGATGGCATGTATTGCGTAATACCTTCTCGAGGGGGCGAAGGAAGAGGGGGATGATGACGAGGAGCTTGCTTTGGCTCGGATGTGTTTTAAATATGCTTGCCGTCAGAACTGTTTTTCCCCCCGCCGCCTTGCTGCAGCGTCGGGTTGCACCAAGCAGCAATGCTTAGACCAGGACGTGCGGTATTGGTCCGCCGTTCTCCCTCAGTGGTTATATAAGAGTGGAGCTATTGTGCCCACTTGTCCCTGTTCACGATATCTTTGTACGAAGCTGCGCTCCGGCCTCTTCCCTTTTGATATGGAGTTCCCCGTCTGACCGGACACTACTCTCCAAGGCAGTTCGCGTGAAGTGCCACATTATCTTATTCTATAGTACTGCTGGAGTTTTCCCCTTGCCTCCGACACCGAATGCGCAGATGGCATAGCCTGGCTGAAAACATGCAAGTTTCTGTATTCATAGTATGTTGCATCATCGCACCTGGGGCGAGCTTATTTGTGTGCCGTTGGCTTTGATGCTCGTGGCCTGCGGCAGCATGCTTCTTCGCACCACAACGCCTTACCTAAGCATGGGTTACGTCTAGGGTGCGCCTTGCCTTCCATCGGCAGGAAGTAAACCTAGCTTGCACCGCGCATTCCAAGCAGCGTGTTCCAGCTCATGCCTCTCATCACCCTTCCCTGGCTGGTTCTATCGAAGATGCCTGCGGCGAAACGCCACCGCTACTAGCCAGCGTGGAGCAGCGCGTGGTCGATGCCCGATGCGACTCGCCCCGGCGTGGTGGAACTCTGATTTCCCGACGTGTTGCTGCGTCGGCTGGCGGAGCACGTTTGGCCCAGAGTGGAGGGGCTGTCCTGGGGCTCGTCTTGGATGTTTTTGGAGCCCGCTTGGGCGTTCTGGTGGGCCTCCTGGGGCCCTCCTGGGCTGTCTTGGGGCCCTCTGCGGCTGTCTTGGACCCCTCGAGTCGAAGGGCCGTCTTGGTGGTTTCTTGAAGCCCTCTCGAAGTCCTCGTGTGCCGTCCTGGGGCTTGCTTGGGCAGGCTGATGCCCCTCCTGGAGCCGTCTTGAGACATCTAGGGGGCTTTTTGGGCCGCCTTCGGCCCTTCTCGCGATGTGCTGGGGCTCTCTGGTGTTTGGGAGCTCTTTGGGCAGTCTTGGGCACCTCTGAAGCCCGAACATGCGAGTATGTGAACCAATTCTTTATGAGATTTTGCCTCTTGGAGGCCTCTTGAGTGCCGCAAGACATCCGGCAATTGGGCTTCCAACGCTGCGGGCGGGGTGCAAGCGATGCGCAGCAATCCGTATGCACATCCGGGAATGCCGACCAGCGCTTAGCGGGCGAGGAACGGTATGAAACGCAGTCGGCCCGGATTAGTGGGTCGACCCTGCCAAGTCAAGGGTATTCTTGCGTCCCGTGCCTCGCGGCCCATGCCTCTTACGTTCCTGTGGCAATGTGGCCCTCGGGTCCTGTGTCCTCTCGCGTGTCCTCTCCAATGAAGTCCGACCCTATTCGTCTCCTCCGCCAGGGCGCTGGAAAGTTTTTTACCCCGACGTGCCACCGTAGGGGTGCAAAAACTTTCCAGCCGCCCTGGGACGGGCGCCCCCCGACGGCGAGGCGCCTCCTGTTGTGCCGCTCCTCGTGCGCCAGAGCGGTGCGAGGCCGTGCGCGAGG